TGCCAATGCGCGAAAAAGACCTCATGAGGAGGATCAATCACTTCTTGTAAGCACTGCTTTTGCTGCATCGAAGGCGAATATTGCTAGTGTTATGCCATAATGTAAATCTGCATAATTATTGGAAAGCCTGTCCGTACGTGAAACACGGACGGTTTTAAGGAGTCGTCTTTGAAATCTTTCAGTCCTACACGAATAGGGGACGGGCCCTTAAAATTCCAGCCTTCCAGATTCCCCCATTCCCGAGTTGTGATTTTCCAGGGAGCTCAGTTTGAAATCTTTTCTTCGTACATGAGTAAGGGACACTTTCCTGAATCTTCAGCTTTTTAACTTTTCTCGTTCTCGAGCAAGCAATTTTCCTGCCAAAACTTTCATGTACCAGCACGCGATATGTAAACGTGCGTAACAGTTGATATCATTTTCTTGGGATCACAGTTGGCCAGGGAACACACTGGCAGAATTTCAGCACCAAAGCCTGCGTAGTTGCTGAATAGAAATATCCAAACAGATGCACACACACAGACAGGATTGTCGCAATATGCGTTTTTGCTGTCTTACATCTCCTCAACAAATCATCCGGCACCAGTTATAGACTATTTAAAAACGTATACCTTCAGTGGAAATGCAGCCATATAATAATACTCATTTTGTACAGCCACGGAAATAATTGGACCACACCAGGTCATGTAGTGAACGTTATCAGGGAAAAAGCCTGCAAAAAGGATAAGTGAATGAGTTGAGAAGGTGGTGCAAAGAAAGCTTACTGTTTGTCATGTCGAAGTGAATCCTCGCGAATTCGTCGACCAACCATTTGTACAGAAAAATTTTCTTTCTTGCGCTCACAGCTACGTAGAGCAGTCCATCGGCCTACAAACACCCCTCATAAGTTACCACAAATTTACCTCCATTACAGTCGCCTTCTGACCATAACTCTCCACAGCCCCCTCCTCCCTGAGAATAATCGTCTGATGCTGGCCAAATGCCTGCACTCAAAACTGTGTTGGTTCGCTCGCAGAGTAGAAATCACCAGTGCCGTCATCAATAGCAAGCAGCTAATATCCTGTCCAGAAGCGTGTGTCTCACACAAGCGAAGCACTGTAGAGAGTCAGC